CCCTCCTCCAGCCTCCTCCTCCCCCACCACCTTCTCATGCCCCTCCTCCCCCTCCAGTGCCTCCTCTTCCTTTTCTTCCTCATCTTCGACCTCCTGCTCTGAGAGCTCTTCTGATTGCCCCAACCACCATCATCATCATCATCATCATCATCACCGTCACCCCCGCCCTCAGCTGCAGCTGCCCCCGCCCTCCCACAGCGAACAGCCGTCCTCACCCAGTGCCAGCCCCCGTAGCTCCAGCCCCAGCGGGAGTATCGGCAGCACCGGCAGCCTCGGAAGCAGCAGCAGTGCCAGCGAGGGCATCGGTAGCAGCAGCGTTTCGAGTGGCGGCGACCTGCGAGGTCCTAGTCCGCCGCTGGATGTCATCTCAGAGGACGCCATGGAGATGGACCTCGAAGGCGACCAAGGTAACGAGGAGAGAGAAAAAAGAACAGAATTAATTCAGGATGTGCTGAAGATTAGTTCAGTTTCAGTTGGACCCTGTGATAATCTGAACAAGATAAATCCATTTGTTGATTCAAAATAAGAGAATGGGATATTTTACTGGAAGAGTTCAGATTAATTATTTGCCATTTTTAGAAAAAAGTTCAAATCTACAGTTTTTATCATAAATATAAAAAAAACAATCAAACAAACTTTACATTTGTCTTCAAAAACACAAATTATATTTGATGATTTGCATAGAGAGCAGGAAGTGACATTTGGGCTCATGATCACAGGAGAAATGTTCAGGTTACGTTCTAACGTCAGGTGAGAAGTGATGTCACCAAATATCAAAGATGTGACAGCATCCACCACCATGATTCTCAGTTCAAATCTGAGTGTGATCGTGTGAATGATGGTGAATTAAAACGGAGTATTTGTCAGTTAGGAGTGAATAAAATCATGTCTCATGTAGCGCAACCTCTTCTTCTTCTCTGTGTCCAGTGATCAACCCTGAAGTCGCTCTGAAAGCTTGTCAGGAAGTTCTTCTCAAAGTCCAGCTGCAGAACAGAGACATGCCTGAACAGCAGCAGCAGCACACAGACTCGTCGGAGCGCTGTGCTCCTCAGTACTTGAGTCGCATGAGTCCAGACACCAGCTCCATCAAAGAGGAAGAAGAGGAGGAGGAGAAACAAGGTGGAACGTCCCAACAAGACCTGTGTCCTTCAGCCCGACCGCAGTCCTCTCCACTGCCACCGGGGGTGTCACCATCATCGAAACAGTCGTGGCTGCTGCGTCTCTTTGAGTCCAAGCTGTTTGACGTTTCCATGGCGATCTCCTACTTGTACAAGTCAAAGGAGCCTGGGGTGCAGGCGTACATCGGGAACCGACTCTTCAGCTTCCCTGACGCTGAGGTGGACGTCTACCTGCCGCAGCTTCTCAACATGTATGTGCACATGGACACGGAAGTGGGAGACGCCATCAGACCGTACCTGGTGAGTCCTCCGCAGAGTTTATTGGTTTCTGATCGGTTTAACATCAATTTATTTGATAAGATTTCTAACGAAGCTGATTAGTAATGAAAACAAGCTAGTGTTAGAATGTTCACAGCTACAGAGAAAACTCATTGTGATGTCACATGATACCAGGAACAGTTATGCAGACTGGCCACTAGTGGCTAGTTTTGCACGCCCCCTAAGCTGTTGACCTATCACAACAGAGGTGGCTTAATGTTAAAGGGCCAGGGGCTGAAATCAAGAGTTTCAGATGAAGTACGACTTTGTTGTTTGTGAACAACATATGATTGAAACTAGTTTTGTGAAAACGTTGTTGAGGAGTTGAAACTGTGATGTTCTGTGTGTTTTGATGTTTTGTCTCAGATCCATCGCTGCAGAGAAAGCATCACCTTCTCGCTGCTGTCGGCATGGCTGCTCGGGGCCTACTCCTCAGACATGCACATCTCCACCCAGCGTCACTCCAGAGGCACCAAACTCCGAAAACTCATCCTGTCCGATGAACTCAAGCCATCTGCTCTGACACCTGTCACTTCCAGACCAACTTCAGCTTCTGTCTCTGAAAGCCCAATGTCATCTCCGTCCCACCGCCGCTGTCACCGCAGGCACAACAGCAGCAACGTGGAGGCCTCCACTGCCACCTTGCCAAACAACCCCACATCGGGGGAGTGTGAGGTCTTTGTTTCTCCATCTAGAAGGACCCACCAGAGATCCAAGTCAGACGCCACCACGGCGAGCAGCGGGCCTGGCACTGGCCTCCGACGAACGGGAAGTAACCCGAAGGTGGAGTCGGTTCATGAGGAGGTGAGATTCACTTTTTTCGTTTTTTTTATTTAATGGAGGAGGGAGGAGTTCAGTCTCTAAGGCTACATCCATACGAGTACTTCTTCATTTGAAAACTCATCATCTGACGTCCACACGACTCCGGAGTTTAGGATAAAACAGAGAAGTTTGTAAACGCTGCTGGTTCATTTTCAGTTTGAAAACTCCGCCAGTTTTATTCTGGATGAACAGAAACTGAGAAGTTTGGAAATGATGACGCTCACAGCTGCTTGCTGATTGGTTCTTTTCAGTCATGACGTAACCTTCTCTGATTGGTCTCCTGTCACATGACCTCCTTCCAGAATAGAACAACCGGCATCAGCCTCAGCTACCAGAACACAACATGGAGGAGCAAAGTGTTACTAACAGCTGCTGTTCAGGTCAATTCTGGATAACAACCAAGTGCTTCCTGTTTACAGCACGTGTGTGAGTGGTCATGTGATCTGTTTGAGTCATGTGATCTCGCCGTCCACGTGTTCAGTTTCCTTCAGGTCATTTCTGGAATTTGCATGCGTGTGTGTGTGCGCGCATATTTTGGCTTGGTCCTCACTTTCTGACCCACCTTTAATGGCCTGTTTGGGGTTAAGACTTGGTTTAAGGCTTTGAATTAGGTTTAGGTTATGTTAGGAGTTAGGGGGTTAGGGGCTAGGAGTTAGGGGCTAGGGGTTAGGGAATGCAGTATGCCAATAAATGACCTCACTAAGATAGAAGTACCAACATGTTTGTGCGTGTGTGATTTAAACCATATGCTGCTGAAACACGTGTGAACCAGCAGCTTGGTCATGTGACCAAGAGAGAAAATGAGCCTGGTTCTGATCTGATCACATGACTTGTTTCTTTTCTGGGCGGAGTTTTGCTGATGCACAGTGATCAATAATCAATAAGACAAATCCTGACATAACTGCTGGTCTGCCTCAGCCCGAGCGTCTCCGTCCTCAGCGGGAGTTCGTCAAGTCTCTGCTCTGCATTGGGAAGCGTTTGGCGACGTTGCCGACCAAAGAGCAGAAGACGCAGCGGCTGATCTCAGAGCTGTCGCTGCTCAACCACAAGCTACCGGCCCGAGTGTGGCTGCCCACTGCCGAGCACCAGCACCACGTCTGCAGGATCCCGCACACGCAGGCTGTCGTCCTGAACTCTAAAGACAAGGTAACGTCAAAGCCTCACCTGCAGGAGGCGTTCAGGAGAAACCGGTTCAGATTAATGATTCATCTAAAATGTGGCATCCCGCTCCTCAGGCGCCGTACATCATCTACGTGGAGGTTTTGGAGTGCGAAAGCTTCGAGACGTCTCTCATTCCCATTCGGATTCCGGAGACCAGGATCCGTTCAGCTCGTTCTGCAGAAAACCTGGACTGTGGCAGCGTCATGGCGACCATGGCTAACGGGATGACATCAGAGCACAGGGCGGGAAGTTTCTCCACCGTCCCAAACTACGACAATGACGACGAAGCGTGGGCCACTGACGACATTGGACAGCTGCAGGTGGAGGTGAGAGGAGGGCGGGGCTTACATCGAACATCAGCTGAAAAGGACATGTTGCCTAGCAACAGTGTTCTCATGACTGTGTGTGTGTGTGTGTGTGTGTGTGTGTGTGTGTGTGTGTGTTGCAGGCTGAGGCTCAGACCAGCAGCAGTGACAACATCAGTCAGTTTTCAGTCGACAGCATCACAAGTCTGGAGAATAAAGAGCCAGTGTTCATAGCTGCTGGAGACATTAGGTACACACACATGAACATGTGAACACACACACACACACACACACACACACACCAGCTGACCACCGTCTCTGTCGCTGTATAGACGCCGTCTGTCCGAGAACCTCGCTCACACTCCAACTACGTTCAGGCGAGACCCTGAGGACCCGTCAGCAGTCGCCCTCAAAGAACCCTGGGAGGAGAAAGTCAGGTGAGGTCATCAACAACTTTAACTTAAGTAAATGTTCTAGAAACGTTTGTCAGCAGCTGCACTAACACTGTGTGTTTGTGTTTGTGTGTTTACATCAACAGGCGAATCAGAGAAGCTTCTCCATACGGTCACATGACTAACTGGAGGTTACTGTCAGTCATCGTGAAGTGTGGAGACGACCTGAGGCAGGAGCTGCTGGCCTATCAGGTTCTCCGACAGCTGCAGGTACAAACTCACCTGAATGCAACTTCAAGCACTGAACCACACAAAATCAGAAAAACACAAAATCTATTTTACACGTTCAACCTGAGCTGTTTTAACACCACGTAACACGTAACATGCAACATGCAGTACAGTGCCTCTGCCAGAGACGTGTTGACAGTGGCGTGTGTGTTGTGTGTCCTCAGTCGATCTGGCAGCAGGAGCGAGTTCCTCTGTGGATCAAACCGTATAAGATCCTGGTGATGTCATCAGACAGCGGAATGATCGAGCCCGTCCTCAATGCCGTCTCTCTGCACCAGGTGAGTAACTGATGCTGTCGTTACTATGGAAACAGATATATTTTATCTGCAGCTTAAAGGTACAGTGTGTAGAATTTAGTGACATCTAGTGGTGAAGTGTCATGTTGCAGCTGAAAACAAAAAGTTCTGATCGGTTCAACAGAATCATTGTTGATGATGAAACATTAAAGATGATGTCATTGTGTATTCTTCAGGTGCGTAAACAGAGTCAGCTGTTGCTGCTCGACTATTTCCTGCAGGAACACGGCAGCTTCACCACCGAGGCCTTCCTGTCCGCGCAGAGGAACTTTGTCCAGAGCTGCGCTGGATACAGTCTCATCTGTTACCTGCTGCAGGTCAAAGACAGGTGAGACAAGCCTGTGTGCTAAACTAGGCTAACATCCGGTCTCTGAACTAAGCTACGCTAGCATTAAGTCTTTAGGCTAACACCTGGTCTTTGTGCTAAGCTAGGCTTACATTTAGTCATTAGGCTAACATCCGGTCTTTGTGTTTAGCTAGGCTAACATCCAGTCTTTGTGCTAACTTAAGCTAACATCTGGTCCTTGTGCTAAGCTAGGCTAGCATCCAGTCTTTGTGCTATGTTAAGCTAACATCTGGTCCTTGTGCTAAGCTAGGCTAACGTCTCGTCTTTGTGCTGAGCGAGGATAACGTCCAGCCTGTGTGCTAAGCTAGGCTAACATAGCTGTGTGTTCTATGCAGACATAACGGGAACATCCTGCTGGACTCTGAAGGTCACATCATCCACATCGACTTTGGTTTCATCCTCTCCAGTTCTCCTCGTAACCTCGGCTTCGAGACGTCCGCCTTCAAACTCACATCAGAGTTCGTGGACGTGAGTAAAATCATATTTGTTTCTTAAAGGAACTGAACTGTGGCCAACGATGGTTTTTCGTGTTTTTTCGTGAGGTGAACGTGTTTATGTTGCAGGTGATGGGCGGTTTGGACGGAGACATGTTCATCTATTACAAGATGTTGATGCTCCAGGGTCTGATCGCTGCCAGGAAGCATATGGAGAAGGTTCTGCAGATCGTGGAGATCATGCAACAAGGTGACGTTCACACGAACCAATCAGGAGCCGTCTTCATGTTCAGAATTAAAAACCTGCGAAGCAGCTGATTCACAATAAGAATCAGATTCAGAAAATAAGAGAAATGAAAGAAATCATTGAATGAAAGAAACAGTTGAATCTTTTTAGTTTCGCTCTTTATACATTAAAATAATAATAATTCTGTTGGTTCTGTTGAGGTTGTGTTTTATTGTATTTTCACAGATGTTTTCTCTTCTAATCTCTGCTTTCTTCATTAACCACAGTATTTTCATTTATTTAGAGCAATAACTGAAAATTACTTTTTTCTTCAACATGGTCTAAATACTCGTAATGAATTTGTGTTGGTTCAGATTAATTTACTTTTCTTTAACAATCATAATTATAATTCTTTCCCTCCAGGTTCCCATCTTCCATGTTTCCATGGCTCCAGCACCATCCGTGGTCTGAAGGAGCGTTTCCACATGTCTCTGACCGAGGAACAACTGCAGCTCCTGGTGGAGCAGCTGGTCGACGGATCCATGCGCTCCATCACCACCAAACTCTACGACTCCTTCCAGTATGTCACCAATGGCATCATGTGACCAGAGGGGGCGCCGTTGTGACATCATCAAATCTTTTCTGACTGAATCTAAAACATTTTCAAAGAGTCTGAGACAGAAGTGAATCGAGACCTGAGGGACGTGATGTTTACCTCGTCTGTTACAAGATGGATCTTCAGTGGCGCTCGCTGAGACAAATTAACGACGTGAAGCCCGGCGAGGGAGGAGAGGAAACTCTGTAGGTGAGAAGGTAAACTGCTGGTGAAGAGCAGAAATTATCATCTGATAACCGATAAAATCATTTCGTCATTTATCGAGCTCAACAGTATCACAGATTTTTATTTCTGGCAGCTGATTCGACGACTACGTTTTATTTTTATTTGTTTTACTTTTTTGAACATTTCTTATTAATAATTAGATTTTTATCTTGTGATGAGTAACTGAATCTTTTCTGCTGAATCTGCAAAAAGATTCATGACCAAAGAACGTTTTTTCAGATTCATGGGAAACGTTTTTTTCCTGGTTGATTTCAGATCCTAATATTTCATTGTTAAGTACTCAGAAACTGAAAGTAATTTAAGTTTGATCGTCTCCTGCTTCATGTCAAGAAAATCTGAATCAAACTGATGAAGCTCAACAGGAGCTTTCGTTTCCTCTGATCAGTTTTCTGAATAAAACACAAACTGGTTTAGAAAGAAAGAAAAGAGGCAGAAATCGTCTCGTCTCGAATTTAGTTTGAAATAAGTCTGAGACCAGATTTCATCATTTTTATTTAAACTCTGTTCTTGAATCAGATCAGCTCATTAGCTCTTTGACACAACTGTTATTATCCTCAAAGGTAAAATCATTTGTTAATTGACAGAAAAGTCCAATATTAACCAGCCAAGCTGTGAAAAGTTTCAAAGTGTCATCAGAGTACCAGGGGTGCGAGAGAGCGCTCTGACAGAACATCTATTTTTGGTACGAGAAAAGTATTTTTGGCAGAAGTCAAATCTAAATATCAGCAGCGTTTGATTAAATGAGATTTGTTGATGCGGTGTCACTGCTGCATTGATTGTTTTATTTCAAGTTCATCAAATTCTGGTTTAGTTAAAGGTCCGAGTTGAATTTCATAAAACAAAGATTTGTCTTGTTTTAAATGACATTATGACACTAATGAGAGAGTTGAATGAATTCTACAGTTTCATATTAATTATCGTTTTATTTACTTGAATAGTTTCATATTCAGTTTGAACCAAAACATAAAGAAACAGTTGAACTGATAATCACAGAACGAGAGATGAACTCTACTTCTGTTTGGCAGAAAATCTATTTTTCCTCCAATGATCAATAACGATCAGTTTCCTTAATATGTGAATGTTTTTTAAATTGTTCATCAAACGTATGTTAACGTCAGAACAGACGAATTCTCAGTATTGACAAGTCAAATCTTTGCCTGATGTTGTGAAGCTGGTTTTCCTTTGTGTCGGCTTTATTCCAGTGGATCTCACCTGTGTGTTAACGAAACTTACTAAAGTACAATGACGTTTTTCTTATGAATCTCACTCTTTACATTAAAATACTCGTTTAATAGAATTTAAATTGATTTCAGTCAACGATGTATACAATTCAGCAGATTTAGCTTGTGCTACCTGAACTAGCAGAGGCTAGTTAGCAAGCTGCTTTAAGCTCGTCACTACTTGTATAAATCAAAATACAGATAACATTGTTAGGCTTTTAGCATTGAAGCTAAGTCATTGTCATGCTAATGACCAATAAGCTGTGGCCGTCATATAATCATCGAGCTAAAACTGAATTATTAAAATTTTCCATTCATTCATATTTATTCTTGTTTACAAAATAGATATAGTAAATATAATGGAGAAAAAAATTCCTCTGAATTTTCCACAACAATTAAGTTTGAAGATTTCGTTTTTACTCTGATGGAATTGTGATTCAATTTATTTGTCATTGGCTGCAACAAAGTGAACGAATACAATACATATCTATTAACTGTAAACAAGCTCTTTCAGTAGTCACTTCAGTGAGCAGCTCGGTAGCTGAACCAGGCCAGTTAGCTAGATAACGCCTCATTTTTACATTATACAGTGTCACTTACTTCAGTTTTTATTCTAATTTTATATTTCTATTATTATTCTTGTCTTTAACTGTGACGGAAAATATCAGTTTGTGATAAAATGATTCAATTAAATTGTATTTGTATTGCGCCATATCATAATATTCATAATCTCAAGGCACTTTACATGGAAGGATAATCAGTAGTTTTCAACCTGATGAAAAGTGACATTATTTGAATTAATCATAAAGACACTATAACAACTTCACACTGGAATAAAGCCAACGTCAGTTGTTGTGAAGGTTTTTGGTTTTGACCACTATTGAAGGAGAGGCACATGTTAGCTTCTGCTAGGTGTTAGCCTGCTACTTAACATTACACAAAGATGCAGCTGTGACTAAAGTTTACCTGATACGCAACTTAAATAGCAACTTTTCTTCTTTTTTTCCCTTTGTGAATATGTATGTATGTAAATTAACTGAGAGATGCCTTTAGACTGATCAATGCAACGGGAGGACGAAGGTTTTGAAGTGTCCGACTTGAAAAGTGCGAGATGTTTGACCACATCAAGGACGAGTTTCAACACTTTAACGTCTCCTCTCTGAGTTTTACTAATATAAAGTCAATTTCAACATTTTGATCGTGGAAACATTCATGAAACATAAGCTGAAATTTCAGAATTAAAGTGATTATCAGATAAAAGCTAAATTCCTTTAATGTGAAGTCAAAAGCTGCTAAAATACTGATTGGCTTCTGGTGCATGTGGAGACGACTACATGATGGACGGATGAAACTCGTCCCTGAGACTAAAAACCTTTCTTTGCCTTTTTTCTTTCATCATCAGCTCTAAATGTTTCAACTTCTGATGTAAAAAAAAACTCTAAGTGCTTTGATCCTGAATGAAAAAGTCAATTGTAAAGTTTTGTTCATTTTTCATTTTAAATGTTGAAGACTAAATCCATTAAAACTAATTTACTTTCATTTTCTGAAGCATCTTGTGAGTTTCTGTTCAAATCAAACAAACTTTTAGTTCTATTGATTTCAATGGGAAATGCCAAGGAAGCTGTTATGTGTATTGAGTGTGTGTGGGTGTCTCTCTCTCTCTCTCCCTTGCTCTCTCCTCCCTTTGTCCTGCAGGTGAGAAGTGGAAGATTGGCGGCCAGCTCCAGAAGATCTGTGGATTGGCTCACACTCCAGCCAAGTAGCCAATCAGAGAGGGAGGGCACCATTTAAAAAGCCTCGGTTTGGCTTTGTTCTCGTTCTGTTGCCTTCTGTCAAGGAAGGTTTGTGGTGGGGAGGCTGAACTGAGGTAAGGCGGGGGTACCCTCTGCATTCACACACGTAGGATGAATTTGTTACTACACTAGGTTATGGGTTGTTGCCACTGATGTACTTTTATTAGTTTCAGTTTCAGATAGTCAGGCCTTTGTGTTCTTTTTCTTTCTCACGGATAGAGTTGAGCTAGGCCCTAATTTGTTGTACTTTGTTTATTTTGTTTGGCACAACCCCCCCAGTTCCTCCTCCCCCACATGTTTCAAACCTATGTTTGTTGTTTACCTTTTTTTAATTGTAAATAAACCTTTTTCTTTGACTGCCTCACGTCCACCCTGAGTTCTTTCTTTGTTGATTGTCAGCGTTATTGTTTCTGCAAACAGGGAAACGTAACAGATGCCAATGAGGCTAACATCATGTGACATATCTGAAGGATAAAACTATTTTTCACTGTGTGAAGAAAAGTGAGCAACATTAGGTTTCACTGTGTTTTTCTTTTAAACTCTACCACCCGGTCCAACTTTACTGTTATTAGATCTTCAAAAGTTTCTACGTAGTTTAATACGAAGTTGTCTGCACTCACGAAAGATCATTTATGAATCTTGTAATTATAACAGATGTCTTAGAATCACTGGATTAATTGACAAACACACTTTCATTAAATTTAAAAAAAATCAAATAGTAAAATTACA